TTCCTATAGCATAAGATGGATTTCTAAATCTAACAAGGTTTCCCAATCCATCTCTCACTTGTTATAATAAAAGAGAACAAGAACAAGTACAAGTATAGAAAGAGTTGATTTTTCAAAGAACAAAAGTGGAAGCCTGATCTCTCTTTGTTTCTAAGGTTGAGAGCTCTTCTTCTTTTGTTTCCTTCTTTACTTCAAAGTCTGATATGTATACCTTAAAATTGCTTAATCAAAGGATTATAACCATTGGAGCATGATTGGAAAAAATATAGTCCAACTATTGTAAGTTATTCAAAGTCTTCAGCATTAAAGGCTGAAACTTGCCTCTAGGGGTTGGAACCTCTACTTCATTCTTCATTAGACAGTAAGTCTCAAGGTTCTACACCTTGATTTTTAGGGGTTGTAACCTAGAGAATCCTCTACAAGTCCACCCAAAACAAAATCATCAGGGGTTTCGGACTTTGTTGTTAGGGGTTGGAACCTCAACCTAAGCATGTAATTTCTATTTTTGTTAGTTCACCATAAAAGGAAATATATTGAATAAGTGATCACACAATTAATTTGGCTTCCAATATAAAAGGAAACACATTCAAACACAATATTTAGGGATTTATGAAAATCATATCCATATCACTAAAAATAAGCTAAGCGTATATTTCCTTTCACATTTGGTTTTAAATCTATCAAAATCAAGAATAATAATGTGGAGTGGCGCTGATATTATATGTAACAACCTAGTCTACAATTGACATTGTCCACTTTAGCCCCTAATTAGGCCCCACTATTTCAAAATGCATCAATAGGGTGTAATAGGAGTTCACCAATATACCTAACATCTCTCTCATGCTTTGTTTAGGGGTGTCACATATAAATATTGACCGTTCATTTTTCCCCTATACATTGTTGAGATTTATTCACTTTTTATTATATTTTTAAAAATAATTATTTTTTCATTTAAAATTCATTATAAATCTTAATTAACCATTCATAATAGATAAATAAATGGTTAATGTTTTATATAAATGATGTATGTAAGAGTTATATGCAAATTTATCTTAACTTTTTCAATATATTATTATAAATAGCCAAATGTGTTTAAAATTCTCACTAAATTCTTTTAAAATCCTCTAAAATTATCAATAAATAAGCAATGGACCTTTTAAAAATAGCTATTAAGGAGGGTGAAGTCTTACAAAGAATTAAATAATCACCAACAGGTATCATAATCCACTCTAATACCATTGTTGGGTTTTTAAGAGAGTGTAGTGGAGGCAAAAATAAAAAATGTCATCTTTTCAACCCACATAGGATCCTTATAAATCAATTAATAATTAATAAAGGTTAGAGATCAATACCTCAACGAAGCGCGTCTTGTTGGGGTGTAAGTCTAATCCGCAACCTTTGCACGAAGGTTAAAGTCTAAAGGTAGAAATTCTTTAGCAATTATCCACCTTGGGGTTTTGGACAAAACTAGATATCCAAAGTGTGCTGACTAAGAAAGATCTAGTTTGATTTTCTACCT